AGGTCAAGTCACCTGGGCCCCTGCCCCTAGCGGGAGACCTGAGTAAACTTCCTCTCAAGAATCTGAGAGCTTCCCAACAGGCCTGTCCCCCTCACAATGGCCAACCTGGCGCCCTTGTGGTACACGCTCGCTCAGTCACTGGGGGACCTATCCGTAAAGCATTAGCTGCTAAGTGGTTAATGTCAGTAAAGTTCACCTGGTACCTTCCAGCTGATCTATGAGTTAGTGGACGAATTTGAGAGACAAAGCTTTAATTCAGTATTTATTTTAGCCAAAGTAAAACCCAGTACAGAAATCATTAAAACCTGTGACCTTTCCCCTGAAGCAGGGACACCCAAGAACTCCTAGGGTTCTACAGAGTACAGCTGGCCCTATCAATAAAAATATGAACTATAATGTATTAAAATGTCTCAACTGTCTATTTTGAGTCTCCTAAATTCCCCCAGGCTGGCCCTGAACTTCTAATTCCCCTGCGTCAACCTTGTGAATACCTGGGACTATAGGCATGCACCACACCTAGCCGCACTGTTTAAATCTAAGAGTTCACAAGAACATTTAAAAAAAAAAATCCTTATTGAATCTGTGGAAGATACTGTGAAAATTTCCTTTTCTGTATAAGCAGTACTACAGGGTAACTGCAATGCTGACAAACGTAAAATTCCTTATACATTTTTTTCTAGGTAATGAATGAGGAAGAAGTGACAGAATTAAAACAATAGCTTGTAGTTCCTAATGAAATAATGGAGCCAAGCAATGATCATGAATGACCTTTAACATGCACAGAGACAGCCACACGTTGTGTTGCTTCCCAGAACAGTCACATCAAAAGAAAAAACCACCAAAAATGAGCCCCGAATCTAGCCAGGTGTGTTGGTGCTTGCCTGTAATCTCAGCACCCAGGGGGCTGAGGCAGGAGTTGGTGGCCTTCCAGGATTCGTAGGGAGAACCTGCCTCAAGAGGGGAGAGGAGGGCAGGGGAGGGGAGGGGAAAGAAAAGCCCTGAATTTGATCAAGCCATTTTCTTCAACTACCATTTATGCAGGACAGTTGTTAACCACCCTCAAAAGGATGAAATCAGCAAATCTAGAATGTGAGAGACAACAAAAGACCTGTTTTGAGAGGACAGAAAGAGGGAAGGGGGAGATTTCAAGATTATTTAAGAGGCATCTAACACGTGGTAATATATGACCTGGTCTGGACCTCATTTTAATAAATGTGAAAAAATTTATAAGACTGGGAAAATGTGAACACTGAAGAAATATTTAATGTTAAATTATTAAATTTTAGGTATATGAATGGTATATTTCCTTTAAAAATTCTTTCAGAGGTACATATCAAATACATATAGAACGATTTGATAATTGAGATCTGTTAAAAAGTAATCTGGCGGGAGAGTATGGGAACAACAAGGGCAGGAAACTGACAAATGCTGAAGCTGGATGACAGGACACGAGGCTTACATTAAAGTCTGTTTCCATAAAAATATTTAAAAAGAGGCAGAGAAGGGTCGGGAGCATAAACAAACTGCAGGCTCGGGCCTTAGTTGACCTGGTCCAATCACACCATTAAAAAACACATATTTATGAGAATGCCAAGGAAATGTGAAAACGTGATATCGCATACTTAAACGGGTCCTATTTTAGGTGTGACAGTGATAAAGTGCCCCCATCTTTTGTAAAGATATACCAAGTTTCGGCCTGGGATTTGCCTCAGGAGCCTAGCGTCCGAGGGCAGCGGGAGTGGGGAGAAGCTCAGGCTGGCCGGAGCCGGGTGATGGGCCCAGGAGGCTCCTTAGACCATTTCCTCCACTCGTGCGTATGTTTTACAATTCTCGCTGGTAAAGCCTTTTTAAGAAGTCAGCTATGGTGCTCGAAGTCAGTCGATGGCTACTTCTGAAGAGAAGCGCGCCAGTGTCTGGGGCACCACGGTCGGCTCACCTGTGGCAAAACCACCAATTTATTACGAGTTGTGCACAATTCAGTATGCACTGCACACTGCAATAAAAAACGAAAGAAAGCAAAAGAAAAGAAAGGTCAGTCTGACCCCCCTGGGGCAAAGGGAAGCCCCGTGGGGATCAGGTCCCACCGCTACCTCCAAGAGCTTTCTTAGGGGGCCACAGAAAGGCGGCAAAGGCCACGCCCCCGCGGCCCTCCTGTCCAATGGGGACTGCAGCAGCGAAAGCCTCATATCGGCCCTCCTCCCTCCTCCAACCCGCGAGCCAGCCGGAACACCTCACGGTCCTCCAGCTCACCGCGCCCAATCCCAAAGCTCCACAGGCCGAGCGCGGTTAGGAGGGCGCGCGCCCGCACCCCGACAGGTCCGCACCCGCGGTTCCCCAAGGGCCCACAGCGCCCTCTCCTGGCCGACCTTCAGGGATGCAGCCACTGTGAGCCCGAACACAAACCTCTCTGCTCAGGCCAAAGCCCAATCCAAATACCCAAGTAAAACTAGGGAAAGCAAGGAGTCTTGTCACGCAGAAGTAAAGAGTATGTGTTTCATTGAGACGTTCTATTACACTCCAAAAGCCTAAGTGGTTTGAGTTCCAAAACCTTACCTCCCGTATTTCACCTGGGGGTACAGGCGAGGGACTCCTTCATTTCACTTCTCCCTGGACCACGGCTGTCTCTGCAGCAGCATCAGCACCACTCCTAACCCCCAGGAGCAGACACCAGGGCCACAGCTGCCTCCAAGAGCAGGCAGAGCGGGAACCCGGCCGACCCTAGGGACACCCAGGCTGTTCAGCTTGTAAACAAAATATCACTGTGATAATGCAGCTCCTGGTGTCTGATGCTCCACATCTGTATGAATGTGAATATTCCCATTCACAGCTCTGCCGTTCGCCTTCACAGTGACTCTGCATTTAAGTGCAAGCCTTAGCTACTTCATTGTTTTCTTTTTTACTGAAGTTTTGCCAAAGCATTTATTTATATTTTGAAATATATATTATTTACTGCAAGACTTCCTGTGGGACCAAAATGACTCCATTTTGGAGCCGTCTCCTTTGTTCTCTCAAATTTGTGCTTAAACTAGAAATTCACCACTTGAAATTCCTGAGTTTATTACCCAACCACCTGTGTACCCGGGGAGAAAGCGTTCCAGGCACACTATCTGTAGGATAAGCAGTTAATGAGCTGACTGTCCACACAAGATAGATGCGGCCATTAGTTAGTGGGTCTGCTAACGATCAGTATGTAACAACCGGCCGTTAATCTTTGCCCCTTTTCTCCCTCACTAAAACCAATACGTAATCCCCTTCGACCCCCAAAGCCTAGCCAACCAAAACCCTACACTTCATATGTATTAAGTATTAACCAATCACCTGGCTACTAATAACCAAAGCTTGTTGTATTCTCAATAAAAACCCTGCTAGTTAGAGACTCAGGGCTCTCAATCTCGATCCGCTGTGTCGGTGACAGTTGAGAGTCCCTGCTTAAGCTTGAATAAACGACCCTTGTGTGCTTACATCGGAAACAGCCTCCTGGTGGTCTCTGGGACTTCACAATCTGGGCACAACATTCCCTTTTTTATATCACGGCAACTGTACAGATTTTAAAAATATGTATGAATTACCTTATCTTTGAATTTAATTTCAAGACAAAATTAGTATTATAAAATATTTGTTATATATAAAAAAAAAAAGACTATGCTAAGTCTCTCCTAGGGAGAATCAGACTGCAAGTTTCCCAGGGAGAGGCTGCAGTCTCTTAGCTTCAGATCCTGCACAGCTTGCTTTGCCTGGCGCCTGCCGGTGCACCCAATAAGAGCTCACAACCAGGGGAAACTGATGCTTCTGAAACCTCAATAAGGGAGCCACAGTCAGGGGGTAGTTCCCCCACACTTCTGGTAAGAATTCATAAACCAAGGGGACTTTATGCTTGTCTTACACAAGACAAAAACCAAAACCACCACCACCACCACAAAAACCCACAGTGGATGAAGTCTGGGGAAAAAGATCAACACTGGAATCCAAGCAAAACTTAATCACTAGCCTATTATTCCCTTGGCTGATGTCCCATCTGAAGTATGTAAATAAAGAGTCCTGAGGTCAATGGCTTTGGTATCTTATAGAAGAAAGGCTGCGAACTATTTACATCACACAGGGAATGAGGGAAAAGGAAATACAACTATAAGCTTATTGCCTGGGGAGATGTTCACCTAAATTCCTAAAGGCTTACATTACATTCCAACTTCGCTTTCAAACCTATAGCCTGTTAATGAAACAGAGGAGTCAAAAAGGGGCCTGAAGATCACAAGAGGAGTTTTTAAAAAATGAAGAGATTAAAAATAAAAAAAGAATGAAAGTATAATATTCTGTAAAATGAGATAGGTTGATGAAAACTGTAAGATTAAAAGGGACAAAAAGGGCTGGCTGGGTATGATGGTGCACACCTATAATTAAGCAAGACCCTGTCTCAAAATAAAAAATAAAAGGGCTGGTGGATGTAGCTCAGTTCCAAGGTTTAATCTCCCATATTTACCAAAAATAAATAAAATAAAAGGAAAAAAAGCAAACAAGACAGCTAGGCATGGTGGTGCACACCAGTAGTCCCAGCACTCAGGAGGCTGAGGCAAGAGGACCACAGAAGGAATTCCAGGCCAGCCTGAACTACACAATAAGACCCTGTCTCAAACAACAAACAAGCAAACAGATACCAAACACAAACAACAAAATAAAGCAAGCCCCTAAAAAATCATTTCAGCCAGGGATTTAGCTCAGTGGTTTCGCCGCCTGCTGCGCAAGCCCAAGGACCTGAGTTCCATTCCCAGTACCAAAAAAAAAAAAAAATCATTTCAGGAATGAAATATTAAAAATGTAAAAAATGGCAAAAATGATTTTGTCATGTGTAAAACTTTCTTTTTAAGACTTAAAATGTGCTTATCTGAATTGAATCATCATACAAGAAAGCATCATTTCACACATACACCATATGACTATATGATGGTGGACATATGGAGAGACTGCAAATGATACACAAAATATCCCAAGAGGTGGGCACCTACCAAGGTGACATTCTTCTTTTTCTCTTGCTTCCCATTTGTGGCTGTCCACATAGGCTGCCGAAAGCAGGCATCTTTTACCTGAGGAAAAAAACAACTATCTCAACAGGCACAGTTATACAATTTTACTTTTATATATATCGGTCTTATTAAACAATGTCTTTATCACATTTTCAATCACTAGATTATATTTTTTAAAATTCTAATATGATATTGTAGTCAACTCTGCTTAGATTACAATTCAGTTCTCAACAAAATGCATTCAACCTCTAACAAGTAGAAGATACAGAAAAACTGAAAAACTTCACAAGAATTTTCTGGGCAAAAATGCTAGTAATTTTGTTCTTGAAACTCTAGGGCTAGGAGCCATTTATTGTCAGTAACCCAGGTGAACCCCAGAACTTCTTAAAGCTCAAAACATGTGCGGACCTAGTGGTTGCTTAACTCGTGAACTGAAAGCATTATGTTTGGAACCAATTTTATTCTTAATGTAGCTAGAAATACCCAGTAACTATATTTTTAAGCAGAAAACTCCTTTTCATTTTCCTCCTTATAGGAGCACAAAAAAACAGTTTTAGAAATGATACTGAATCTTTCTGAAGACTGTATTTTGTATCTGAGGAATTTCAAAGTCAAGAAGCACAGGACACATTTTCAGAAGAGCAATTTTACACTTACCCATTTATTTGCAGTATTTGCAGTATCAGACTATAGTTAGGTCATATATAGTAGAGTTCAAGAACAAAGAGGTCCTTCTTGAGTTAAGCACAGCACACATTGATGATTTTAAGAAAGCAGAAGACACATGAACGAAAAGAACACTGGCAAGCTCAACTCCAAGTACACATATGGTGGGTGTTTCTAAAGACTGTAAAAGCAGGCTCCATTAGCACACAGCATTTCCTCATGTATGTAACAAATGAATTTTTCCTCCTTGTGTACAGCAAAGGATTAGAACCTGAATAAACATGATTTCAGAAATGTAGTAATTTGGAAATGTATGTTATGAAATTTATCATTTTCTTTACTCCTGCAGGTGAAAGAGGGAGAGAGCAGATGCAAGTGTACAGTTTGCAGTATTTAAGGAAGAGCTGAATAGGATACGGAATCTTCATAGTGCCAACAACTCCATAGCAAATAACTGTGGCTTTCATCACTTTTATAATTTATATTGCATCAAGCAGTTACTCCCTATATGTGTATCAACTAATTCAAATCATATGCTCTTCAAATACAAAGATGAATACTACAGGATAAGTCGATGATCAAACACCAAAGGGAATTTCTCCTTCCAATGTCTTGATTTAACAAGATTTTTCCAGACTGAAGTATGACACTTAAATAAGCAATTTCAAGGCCAGGAAACTACACCTGTTATGGGTATTACCTGACATGTACTATATATTAAATTAAACCCAGTATTAAATATGCTTGCACAATTATACTGGGAGTGGTGATAACAGTGATGACGCTAGTAAAAAAAAGATAAGCTTTAGCTCAGGATTAGAGGGGAAAATACAAGCAGAAAGCAAACAGAATTGGTCATTTTCTGATGATGAAAGATATTTTTAAACAGATATATAAAAAGGAACATACTCCCATATGTCCGCAAGTGGAAAAACACGAAACATTTACTTGATATTTTGAATAAGAATAGAGCTAAATAACCCAACTTCCTCTGTGGCTGAAAAAAAAGATCACCCCATTAGCACAGTGTAAGATTTAAATGCAAACTGTACAAGGGTACATATTATATAAAATATTGTATAAGATTGCTGCTGCCGTAGAGTACTTCCGGTCCCTATCCAGATCATATTCAAATACTGGTGGTCCCAATAGTTATACTGAAATAAATCATCTTCCAAACAACAAAAAGAAAAAAGAAAAACCTTTAAAAAGGCAAATCAAAATGCCTTAGTAACCATACATCCAACTACTTAAATGAGATTTGCTTCCCACCAAAAATTTATTTCACTCACACTAGATCCATAAATCTCTCATACTTAAGTATCTTCCTTGCCTAATAATTAAAGGAAAAATCTAAAATGATTAATAAAGAAAAATGTAAGGATTAATAAACCCTTTGAATTTGTTTTAAATTATTTTTAAGATTTAAAAAGTGTTTAAGCTTTGTAATTCCTAGCAGGAAAACATTATCTGAATGAATAACCTAATGGCAAACCATTGTAAAATGCTTCAGCTGCATTTGGTGCAGAGGGGCAGGGATTATCTTCAAAGCACCCCAGCTCTCCTGATGAGGTCAGAGGTTTGTATTATTGTGACATCCGTTAAGTGATCTAGGTTGTTTTTCTTTCAGAAAGGACTTTGTCAGATGAGCATTACGCTTGACCTCCGAATTTAGCTGACAATTTACTGATGAGATTCATAATCTTTGGATTACTGATATTTTGACATATGTGCAGGAATCTGAGCCATATCCTGGAAGGCCACCATAACTTCTGGATCCTGTATGGCTGCAAGAACCTCTGGATCCCTAAGAATCTCACTGAGCCCAGGCATTCCTGCCATGCCAGCTCCCATTCCAGGCATCCCTCCCAGAAAATTACCAGGAAAGCCGCCTGGAAAAGAGCCATACTGAACCCCTGCCTGTCGTCTGGCTTCTTCCTCCCTCTGGGCTCTTTCGTGCTCTTCTCGAGCCTTCTTAACCCTTTCTATTCTTTCTTTGATCTCTTGTTCTTCACGTTTTCCTTCGTACTTTCTCCGATGTTCAGCAATTTTCTGGGCCCTTGGCTGAACTTCTTTCAGCGTTGCACTCGCATCTTCATCGTAATCCAGTTTACAGGCAAGGGCAAGATCATGGGCTGCTTCTTCCCAATGGCCCGGAAGTCTGTGTGCTTTTCCTCACCATTTGTACGGCTGGGCTGAATCAGGATTTATTTCAATGGCTCTGTCACAATCTCGAATGGGAGCATTTGGCTTCTGCAATTTGATGAAGACACTGGCTCTCTTGGCATACAGAATGGCTAGGCAAGGATTCAGCTTAATGGCATCTGTGAACAAGTCAATGGCTTTTCTGAAGTTCACCATCATTTACAGCGTCAATGGCAGCCCCTTTCTTTTCATTTGCTTGATCCATCATCTCCTCAGTTATCTCTACATTTTCATCTCCCGTTTCTTGAGGGGTATCAGTGCCTGGTTCAATTACACCTTCATTATCGATTTTTAGATCACTTTCCTCACTTGATGGCTCATCTGTCTTTATGTTTTCCTCCGTCTTCTTACTGTTTTTTCTTCCTTGATATTTTCTTCTGATTTAGCTTTATGAGTAGCAGATGGTACTTTACCCCCCATGCTCTCTACCCACTCCCTCAGGAAGCGCATCTCCTCTGTGTGCAGGATGCTTGGAGCTTGCTTACACATTTTCATGAAAGCCCAAAGCTTGTTTACTTTTCGGGGATCCATGGTCCGCAGACTATGGTCGGTGGCTGCTCAGGAGGCTGCTGCCTGATCCCAAGCCCAGGTGCTGGCTCGGCAAGACTGCGTAGAAGGAGGCAACTGAATGCATTATGATTACTAGCCCTAAAAACATATCCATCTGTCTTGGATCAGCATATTTACCCCTACTTCACATAAAGCAAAGAGCAGTGTCTTAGTGATCCAGTGACCTAGCGCCCCAGCATAGTAAGCACTTACCAATTAAGAGGAATTATCCGAGCCAAACTCAAAGTAACACACAAGGTAGCATAGCTGTGTTCCCGGCACCAGCACGATGCCTGGCATGAGCAGTGCTCAATAAACATGGGCTTAAGGAATGAGAGAATGAAGGGCAGTTTCATCAAAACTAAAACTTTCATGCTTCAAAGGATGGTCAGGAAAATGAAAGAGCAACCCATAGAATGGGAAAAAATATTTATAACTCACTTATCTGATAAGAAATTTGTATGGTACATATAATTGCTCTTACAACTCAAAAAGAGACAAACTAATTTTAAGATGGGCAAAAGAAAAAAAAAATCTCAGAAAAATATGTATGTATACACATACATAATCATCTCTCAATGTCTTTGGGGAATTTGTGCCAGGATCCTCCATGGGTACAAAAATCCTCAGATGCTCAAATTCTCCATATAAAATGGTGTAGTATTTGCATGCAAACCAGGCAACCCTCTCATACACTTTAACAGTTATTTTTTTTAGGTATTTTGAGACAGGGTTTCACTCTGTAATTCAAGCTAGCCTTGGACTCACTATGTAGCCCAGGCTGGTCTCGAACTCCTGGCAATCCTCCCACCTCAGCCTCCCGACTACTGGGATTACAGGTGTGTGCCACCACACCTAGCTCCTCACATACCTTAAATCATCCCTACATTACTATAATACTTCATACAATGCAAATGCTATGTAAATAGGTGCTTTACTGTATTGTTTAGGGAACAGTGACAGTGCAAAAAAGGCTGAACTACATGTTCAGTGCAGAGGCAATTTTTAAAAAATATTTTTGATTTGTGGTTGGCTGAATTCATGGACTCAAGTGGTGTGAATATGGAGGGAGGAATGTGTGTGGATATAGATATATATATATGCATCACAAACAACCAGCAGACATGTGGAAAGATGCTTAAGTCACTTGCCAGTAGGGAAATACAAACTCAAACCCACCTGGAGATACCACTTCACACCCACTATGATGACTATAATCCAAAAGCAGATAATGTCAGCTACTGGTGAGGATGCAGACTAACTACAAGCTCATGTAGTGCTGGCGACAATGTGAAGTAGTGAAGCTGCTTTGGAAAATAGTTCGGCAGTTTCTCAAAATGTTAACATGGTGTTACCATACGACTTAGCAATTCCACTCCTGGGTACACATACCCAAGAAAAAAAGAAAACATGAATCCACACAAAAATTGTACACAGATGTTTATGTCAATAGTATTAATAACACACCAAAGGTGGAAGCAATCCAAATATCCACCAGCTGATGAATGAGTATCAAAATGTGGTATATCCTTACAATAGAATATTATTCGGCAATTAAAAAATGAGGAACCTCAACAACATGCTGAGTGAAAAGATGTTCAGTCTCAAAGGCCCACATATTATAACTCCATTTATGTGAAATACTAGAAGAGGCAACTCTGTAGAGACAGAAAGCAGATTATTGGTTACCTAGGGCTGGGGATGGAGATTGGGAAAGATTGGGGGAATTGGAGCAGGATTGATAATAGATATGGGATTTCTTTTTGGAGTGATAAAAATGTCCTAAAACTGATTGTGGCAATGGCTGTAAAACTCTGTATAAGTAGCAAAAACCAAATTAATTGTATACTTTTAATGGGTGAATTATATGAGCTATTACTGTAACACTTTTAGCCCTGTTAAAGAAACAATGCACAGCAGATAATTACCCAGAGGGCATTCCAGACCACAAGCCGCATATAACTACATGGCATGAGGGCTGATTAAACACAGTATTGAAATGTTATTGTTACTTTCTTTCAACTAAAACAAATAAATATATTTATGTGGATTTATAGATAATCCAATCCTTCCCTTAGCTTGTACAGTTCAAACCTTTATTACAGTAAGATGCCAAAATGTGAATTCAAGAATCATAACAATGATGTGACAATGATAAACAGTGTTTCCTAACACTGTTTCAAGAGGGAAACTAAGACATTCTTTAAAAAAAAAAATTGTCTCATTGTCTGCTAAGAATTTAAAGCAGGGGCCAGGGATTTAGCTCAGTGGTTCTGTCACCTGCCTCACAAGCGCAAAGACCTGAGTTCGATCCCCGGTACCAAAAAAAAATATATACAGAACAGGAAAATAATGCCTATTTCAGTGTGGTAGTTTAAGTGAGTGCATATATTAAAGTCCACTATGTAATGGTGTCCAGTAAATTTCCATCCTCTAAGCTTCTTCATAAACTTAAGTCACTTATTTGGTTCCATCTTAGTTGTTTTTTCTTTCATTCTCTTAATCCTTTTAGCTGTACTTCTCCATTCTATTTTAAGAAGTATCAAGGGCCGGGGATTTAGCTCAGTGGTGCCGCTGCCTGCTTTGCAAGCACAAGGTTCTGAGTTTGATCCCCGGTACCAAAAAAAAAAAAAAAGAAGTATCAAGGTGTTCCAAATATTGATTTGTCATGAATTTGTACGAGTGCTTTTCCTCTCTTGTTCTGTAATGGATCAAATATTTCAATGTCTACATGCTCATCAGCATTCCCAAATCCCAAGAAGTCTCTGTCGTACTAGTCAATATACCTGAATCATTTCACTTACAGCTTCCAGTTCCCTTTCATTTCTTGTATATTACAGTGCTTGTTCAATATAACTTCCTGTGTTGATGAAAATGTTCTATTCTGAGCTTTCTGATACAGGATACACCAGCCAAGTGCCTCCCAATGAATTGGATTTTAAATTTTCTCTTTAACTGAAATTTAAATAGTTATGTTGCTACCTACCATCATGGAATAACACAGATGTAACTTGCCAGAAGTTCAACAATTCAAACTAAAACGAAAATGCTAATTGGAAATTCTCAATTCACCCTAGTACATATTTAATTTCCATTCCCTTATTAGAATGGTTGCCCCTAAACATTCTAAGTAACCATGATTCTCTTCCTGATTTGCTATCCAGGGTCTTGTTTACACTGAGGAGCATTTACTAGTAACTAAAATTAAAAATGTAAATAATAGCTACAACAGCCAATTCCTACTGAGGTGGCAAACATGATACATACCAATTTCCTGAATGTGTGACACTGAACATTTTTACTAGGTAAATCAACTACTTAAGCTTCATGTAGCCAATTATGAGGTTACACATTGATATTTAATAGCTGTTCCTGAAGACAAGTGAACAAGTGTTTGTTACTTGGGGTGGGGGGGCAGCTAAGTAAGCAAAGTTGGTTCAAGAGACCAGAGGCACTGGAAACACAGTGTGATTATTGCTTTGTGTGTGTGTGTGTGTGTGTGTGTGTGTGTGTGTGTGTGTGACAGGGTCTCCCTATATCTCCAGGCCAACCTTGAACTCACTATGTATCCCAGGTTGGTCCTGAACTTTCGACCCTCTTTTCTCAGCCTCTCAAGTGTTGGAATTACAATTATTGCATTTTAACTATATGATCTGGTATATCTGTCAAAATCATGTGGCTAACGTTACTGAAAACTTGGTTTTTTTGAAATACTTTTAAACTTTTCCCCCAGTGTTCTCGTCAACAGATCCATTAAAGACTGGGGTGCCATTCACTTGAGATATCAAAATGCTTTAGAAATACTAACAGCCTTTGCTATGTGGAAAACTACAGCAAAGAAAGGTCAATCAAAAGTGATGTCCAAGGTCATCAGGTAAAATGAGATTAACCCTAAAAAATTCTCCAAGTTAAGACCGTATGAGGAGGTGGGGAAAACGCCTCCCTGATGCACCTCCAATGAAAACTCAGAAAGGAGAGAGGGAACTATCAAAGCCCCAGAGATGGACATATTTAAGTTTTTCAGGGTCAGCAAAAAGACGACCACCTTAACACACAAATCCGACAAGTTATACAGAAAATCCCTCTACTGTAACCTTTTTCTACTTTGAACTAGCAGATACTATCATCTTAGGGAAGGAGATGAGTCACAGACCTTCCCTTCCCTTCCTTTCCCTTCCTTTCTGTATCACTACTCCAAATGGCTTCTATAGCAACCACATCCCAGATTTCTTTTCTTCGTAAAAGGCTATCGCTTCCTTCACTCAAAGAACAAAGTAATGAAGGGCCTGGCGAAGCAGCCCCACCAAAGAGCACCCACCAACCTGCTGGGCAGAGGTAAGGGATAGCGACTTTCCGAGCCAGAAGCGTTCCACACCACACTATGGGGCCCGCCATCTTGGAGTGTACCAAGTGAAAGGCCGACCAGGGGGCTACGGAGAGAGGAAGGGGCAGGCGCTCCGGAAATAGACGTTCTTTCTCCCCTCTCCGGCGTCTGCAGGTGGTGCAGCCTTGGACAATATGGCTACTGCTCTGCAGTCCTTGAGAAAAGTTGGGCTGCTTGCGCCACGGATCTCCCCAAGTCCTTGGGTGGCGAGCCCAGGATCCACTTGCTGCCGCTGCCCTCTCGGAGGTACCTGCGCTTTTGGACCGTGGAATGAGGGAGAGATGGAAAGAAGGAGTGCTCGACCCCAGCGGGCATCTCTTTATAGAGAAGTCGCTCCGTGGCCCGAAGCGCACCCTTGCTGTGTAGTTGCACATGAGTGCAGTGGGGACCCCTGGGTAGCCTGAAAGACCCAGTGTCTGGACACCCGAGGACCTCTGGGGCTGGACTTTGGGGCCATGGTGCTACCAGGCAGGGGCGTCCGTGCTCTCGAGGACACTCCTTTCTCCCTTTGGAGAGCGGAGGTCTTCTACTCCACGCGTTTGCAGTCCTACCGGTGTTTAAAATCTAGAAGACTGAAAAAAAAAAAAATCTAGAAGACTGAACAGGTTTTCTCATCCTCAGAATTACCTTTAACATATTTGGGAAAATGATCAAACTTGAGAATTCTAGTGATTGATAAATATTTAATACTTTGTGTCAGGCGTTATTCTAATGCATTCTACGTATATTAATTCCATTTCTCTTAACAGCACCCAGTAAGAGAGGTGCCTTTTCTCCATTTACAGAGAAGATTAAATCATTTGCCCAAGGTCACAGGGAACTAATAGCTGCAGAATTTGAACTCGGCTACTTCACGGACTACCTTTCATAAATACACAGCAATTTTTCTTGTTATTTTCTTACTGTAGCACCAGAACTCTTCTAGTAGGTGATTCTTTAGTTACGCTTCACCCATTTTTACCTCGTGCATAATCAAGAATGCTAAATGAGGGATAACATTTCCCAAATTTACTAAGCTGTGATTAGTGATTTCTGATCTATATTTAAGATACTGAGTTAAAATCTGGAAGACCATTACTCCATTTCACGAATGACAAGACTGGGAGTTCCAGTGCTCACACTTGCTTTTTCCATTACACTGTATGTTGTCCCTTAGATAAATCAAACCTAGATGCTTGTTTTGCATTTAAATTATAGCTATAATTTTTTTCTTTTTTTTTAATTGCCCTTATTACCCCTTAACCAGGTGGAAAATGCCCATTTAAATCCTAGTTTCCTGTCAACCAGGCACTTTACACAGTTAATCACTAGCTCCTTTTACATACAAACAAAACTTGTTTTGCTGAAGCTTTGCATTCTCTGGTAGTTTGGAGGGTTTTTTCCCTCACCAGGGTCAGTGTCATATTTGTATCCATCTAGATGCATCATTTGTAATAGATGAAGGTAAGATCAGTTCATTAGAAATAATCAAGATCTCTCCAAACATTCAGAATTATTTTACTTTTTTCTTTCTCTAATTTCAGCTAAAAGATACCTACTTACAGATAGTATTATGAAATTAAAGGAATTTCAACATAAGAAGGTGGCTGTTGCATATAATCTTTCTGGCAACAAAGGTAATAGAATCAATTTTGTTAATTCTTTAATCTGTCATTCAAATTTTCTCTGTCCCTATTCATTCTCTCCTTCCATGAACTGCCTTATAGAAAAAGATTGATAACATTTATTCTTAGTTTCCTAGGCTACCTTTATATTCACCTTTCTTCTCACACTGTACTACTACAAAGTCTACAGCTTTCCCCTTAGTCCTTATATCAGAATCCCAGAGAAATAGTAAAACTAGAGCTGCAATCAGTCCTCTTCTGGGTATGGTTTGAGAACCATAGCAGCAGCAATTGGAGATTGATAGAGATGCAAGTGGAAAGGCCCCAGATGGTTCCTACATACTATGTATTTAAGATCTCTAGATGACTGGATTTCAAGCTTTAATGTAACCCTCAGTGGAAAGTACATTTCATTGCATATCTATATGTAAGTGAAAACCATGTGAAACAAAACAGTGCTATGTGTAATGGTGCATTTTGACATATTCTGTGCTGGAAAAGTCCATAGGATCAAAGATTTCTATAAAAACAGGAGAAATTTATGTGAAATCTGGGATTTACCTTGAAAAGTCCAGTGTGTTTGAGGAATGTCAAGGAAATGAAATTAGTAAAATATTGATAATTGTGGAGTCTGGGTGATCGAGGGGTCATTATATTGTTTTCTCTATTTTTGGATGTGTTTGAAATTTTTATTGTAAAAAGCTAAAAACATAAGAACACCACTAACCTAGGCTCCATTCCCTTTCAGTAGCTGAGAAATCTTGTTGCACTCACTTATTCCCTCTTCTGCTCCTAGCGTACTTAGCAATATTTCAGACTTTTTTGTTTTGTTTTGTTTTGTTTTTTGTTTTTGGTACCCAGGATCGAACTTGGGTTCTTGCGCCTGTGCAGCAGGTGGCAAAACCACTGAGCTTAATCCCTGGCCCTCAGACTCTTTTTATAAACACATATAAGATTATACTCTTTGTCCCTGTTGGCATTCTTAGCTATAGGCCCAGCTCTCCCTCTCACTGCCAAGTGCTCGCAAGCCCCTAAGTAACACATCCTGCCTCCCTTCCCTCTCAGTCCAGTCCTCCAGAAATCAGTCTTCCTTCGCAGGTCAGCTGATGCCACAGCTGTGTAATACACCCATGGGACACAAAGATATACTTTAGGAATGCGCAGATATATTTATATCTTCAGGTTAGTATATTCAGTCTAGAAATCACTTTAGTCTCTTCTTTTTACCCTAGATGTTTTTGAGTTATGTGAGGTTTGCAGTCAGTAGGCCTTGTCATTGTATAGGTCTTATTTCCATTTGTCATAGTTTTATGTACATGTTCCAAAAGGCAGTGCACATCTGCAATCTCGTGCACATTTTGTCATTTTAAGAAGCCACAGTGGCATTCGGTTGTGTATACTTAGTGTACTCACCCACCCACCAGGCCTCCTAGTTCTTCCTGAATAGACTTCCTTTCTGGAGTTAAATGTTCTTTCTTCCTCACTTAGTCACAGTTCTTCCCTCAACACCCTTCACCCCAATTCTAAAATGAAGATGATTCTCATACCAGGAATGCCCCAATCCTCTGTTGCTCCAACCTGATTCAGCCCTTTCCTTCCTTCACACTTGATCTCTCTACCCCTAAACTTTATCTGTCCTGCCACTCTGACCAATGACAGGTGCTCTAATAGGACACTTCTGTCCTATTAAGTTTGTAGGACAAATTCATTTGTGTGCTGCCTCATCTATAATTATTTTCAGATAGCTCTGTATGAATAATCTTGTCCTACCAAATACATCTTAAGCTCTTTGTGGGCAGGAACCATAATTATCCTTCCTTGTATCAGAGACACATGCTTCTGAGTATGAATCTATGACAAACAGTTACGGGATTTAAAACAATATACTTCTTTTGACATTTTTTGCTTCATAAGGTTTATTAAGAAGGACAAAGAGAGGACTGGGGATTTAGCTCAGTGATTTCGCTCCCTGCTGTGCAAGCACAAGGACCCGAGTTCGATCTCCGGTACCAAAAGGAAAAAAAAAAATAGTCGGTATCTTTGCCTAGCACACCACACTCAGGACTGTCTTAATGCCAGGGTCAACTGGTAGATAAAAATGCTAGTCTAAATTAATATCCATATAACCTATGTAATTAAATTTCCCTATATTGTAGTACTTCAAAAGTAACTAGGAGGGGCCGGGGATTTAGTTCG